CTCGGGTCGAGCGAAAGGAGTGGTCATCACGATTCTCCTCCTCCCCCTCCTCCTCCTCCTTCCACGCTCCTCCTCTTCCCCCTCCTCCTCCTTCCACCCTCCTATCCTCCTCCTTCCACCCTCCTCTCCTCCTCCTCCTCCTCCTCCTCCTCCTCATCCTCCTCCTCCTCCTGCTGCACCTCCTCCTGCACCTCCTCCTCCTCCCCCTCACCTTCTCCTCCTCCTCCTCCTCCTCCTCCTCCTCCTCGTCACTGTCTTCTTCCTCTCCCTGCTCCTCCTCTTTCTCGTCCATTCCTTTCCCTTATTCTTATGAATAACTCCTCTGTGTCGCGCCCCGAGTCTGGTCGAAAGGGCGGGCTGGGCGTTTCGACTGAGATTTCCTCAGCACCTATGACCCTGCATCCTAAAAGCTGGCATCAGCTTCACAGATGGAGGGCGGGTCGCGTTCAAAATGTGGTTCTCGCCTTAGCGCCGCGCGCGCATTCGTTTTGAAGAGTTGCAAGAACTTCACGGATGGAGGGCGGGCGGATCGTTTTCAGAATGTGGTTCTCGCCTTAGCACCGTGCGCATTCGTTTAAAGCATTCGCAACAGCTTCACGGATTGAGGGCGGGCCGTTTTCGAAATTTGGCTCTCGCCCTAGCGCCGCGCGCAGTCGTTTTGAACACATGCAAGCGCTTCGCGCGTTCCCATGGTCAACGCGCCAGAAATGGTGTTTTGGAAGGACTCAAGATCGTGAAAGCGCAACAAATACGTTGACTCGCGGTGTTGAGGTCGCAGAATTCGCGTTCTGGCACGACTCCGGCTCGTCAACACGCAACGGTCATGTTAATTCGTGGCGCTATAGTCCCCTGAATCATATTTGGCACGCTTCAGGGTCTTCAAACGGTTCTCTCCCAACGAAGCAGTTCCCTCATTGGAAATGATCTCTCGTAGGGGCCGCTGAAAACGGAGCTTGACGGGAGGGTTTATTCCAACGTCGTTGATGGGTTTTCGGTTTCCACTTGTCCTCTGTCTCGCCCACCTTCTCGTCCTCGTCCTTTTCCTCCTCCTGCTTGTCGTCCTCCTCCTCCTCCTCCTCCTCCTCGTCCTCCTCCTCGTCCTCCATTTTATCCTCCTGCTGCGCTCGCCCCATAAAGGTCGCCCCCGCGTTCTCTGGACTAACTAGTTGCTACCTGCGACCGCGGCCGGCCGCGAAACCACCAAGCCCGCGCCGTCGTTGCCACCACCTGCCTACTCTCCTGCTCCGTGGAAGAAACATGTGGGATTTTTTTGTTGCTCATTCTCTCTCTCTCTCTCTCTCATTCTCTTTCATTCTCTCATTCTCTCTCTCTCTCTCTATTTCTCTCTTTCTCTGGATGGTCCCATTTCTAACCGAATCCTACGAAAGATTGACCCACGTGTAACGGATTGTTATTAAGGTAGAACCATCCGTTTGACTAGTAGTAATATAAAAAATGGGTTCACCTCTAAGAAATTCCTATCAGATGTGGATCCAACTCTACTGGGATGCAGTGAGGGATGCAGCACCCTGTCACATAATCCTCTTAGAGGTTGATCCGCCTCGAATGGGATCACGATAAAAGTGGGGCCACTTCTAATATACCCTTATCAGGGATGGAGCCAACTCTAGTGAGACCCTGTGAGATCTGGATCCCGCTCCAATTGAACCCTATCAGACATGGTCCCACCTCCAACATAATATCATCAGGGATTCAACCGCCTCGAATAATTTTGTAGAAATGTGAATTCGATGCACCTCTGATATAATACTCTGAGAAGCGGAGGCACCTCTAACATAATCCTCTACTAGAAACCCACTAGAAGCTACCCCACCTCCAATCGAAACCGAACAAGGATGAAACCAACTGGAACATAGTCCGATTAAAACAGGATCCACCCCATTTGAATCCGATTGGGAATGGAGCCGCCTCAAATAGAGTCCAAGATGCCTGCAGCCACCTGAACTAGCCACTGCGGTGCTGTGCTAAGCCCTGCTGGCCTTGCTAAACCCTGACAGGCCTAGCCAAGCCCTGCTCAGCGCTGCGAAGCACTGTGGCCCTCTGCTAAGCCCTGACGGGTTCTGCTAGCCACATGTCAAGCCAAACTAAGCCTTGATAAGCCCCACCAAACCTTGCTAGCCCATGATCTGCCGTGCTCAGACCTGCCAATCGTTGCTAACACCCGCTGGCCTTGCTAAATTCTGCCAGCACCTTGCTGACCTGCTAAGCCATGCAATGCCTGCTACGCCATGCGGGGCCACCTCGAATCTGACCTTGCAAGGTACGGGCACGTTGTTAGTGTAATCCGAATAGGGGCGGGCATACCCCGAACAAGTTCACATGAAAAATGAAACGGCATGTTATACAATATGATCACGGAAGGACTCGGCTCGAACAAAATCTCATGCGAAGTGGGGCCACCTCTACTGGGATCCTGTCATGGGCGGAGCCACGGGAACTTGAATTGCATTCGCAATGTGGGTTCACCTCTACTAGGATCCCATTCGAGGTGCATCCACCTCCAAAAGAATCCCATGACGGACGGAAGCACCTGGAACCGAATCCATGCCCAAGCCCTGCTAAGCCCCCGCTAAATCGCTGCTGCGCCTTGCCCCGCTGAGCCTTGCTAGCCACTGCGGTGCCGTCCCAAGCTCTGCTGGCCCCTGCTGAGCACTGATAAGCACGGCTAAGCCTTGCTGGCCCTTTGTGATACGTTACGTCAGCCACCTGCCAAGCCCAACGAAGCCTCCATAATCCCGACCAAGCCCTGCTAGGCGCTGCTAGCCCATGGTGTGCCCTGCTGAGACTTGCCAATCTGTGCGAACATCTGATCGCCGTGCTAAGCTCTGCCAGCGCCTTGGTTAACTCTAAGCCATGCGATGCCTGCTGAGCCATGCGGAGCCGCCTTCAATGTACTATTATCAGGCAGCCCGACCAAGGAAGGACTCAGCTCAAATAGAACCCCATGAGAAGTGGATCCGCCTCTACGGGGACCCTGGTATGGACGGAGTCTCGGGTAATTGAACTGTGTTCAATATGGATCCACCCCCTTCAGACTGCCATCAGAGGTAGATTCACCTCCAATCGAATTCCATCAGAGGTAGGCCTCAGAGGAAGAAAAAGCCATCAGAGGGCACCTCTAGTTGGACACCGCGAGGTCCAACAATGTATTCGCGGCCTAGACTGTGGATCAGGAGGTAGGCTTGCGTGGCGCTGGCGTGAATCCGCTTCGGGTCCATATGGCCGTCCGCTTGCTTACCGCCTGGCTGGAACCCGCTGGCGGTCCACGCCTAAGCGGAAGCCCATCTAGAAGAAAAGGACTTTCGCAGATCAAGGCCATCAGAGGTAGAAAAGGCCACGAAACACCTGGAGTATAATCTTCTTAGATGTGGACACACTTATATTTGAATCCTATAATAGAGTCCTATTCGGGGTGGATACAGTGCTTATGCGATTCGCATGGGAGTGGACGCGATCCACCCCTAAGAAAACCGGATTAAAGGCCGAGCCGTCTGTAATATAATCTGGGAAGTGGTGGAGGTCTTTGCGCACAGTCGAACTTAACATGCAAGTCCCCAACGGGGAAAAACGGCGGACAAATCGCACAAAATGGTTTCTACTGGAATCCACGCAATACAAATCAATGTGTAAATCCCTCACAAAAGGAATCCGCTTGTCATCTAGTCTTCTTCCCTTGGTTCGTGCCCGCCCCGGCCTTCAGAAAAACAAACATCTAGAGGGGGCGACGGATTTTCGTGTTTATGTTTTTCCGGAGGGTCCAGAACTTGTTCTGGCCCCCTTTCACAAGAAATCCATGTGTGGGCGATTTACACATTGATTTCTATTGTGGAGTACTAATAAAATTCTTTCACGCGGCTCGTGAATAGTATTCATTTGCGGGCGGTTTGCATGTAGATTTCTGGTGCGTGGCGACGTAGCATTATGCTGCCAGTCTCGAATCTGGTCAATAATACAGTGTGAACCACGTAACGTAGTATCATGTTGCAGATCGTTCAGTGTGTGCTGTGTGAAGGAGCACGGTGCAATGGGGAGATGATTGGCAACATGTATACGACTTTCATTGGCAATGGAATCTATCGTAGCTTGTCACCTTTGTTAGGGCACGAAACGGTAAGACGCTACCCGTGCCTTTAACGACAGCCTATACAATCCTCCTCCTCCTCCTCCTTGTCCTCGTCCTCCTCCTCAATTTTGTCCTCCTTGTCCTCGTCTTCGTCCTCCCCCTCCTCCTCCCCTCCTCCCCTCCTCCTCCCCTCCTCGTCCTCCTCCTCCTCGTTCTCGTCCTCATCATCGCTTTTCTCGTCGTCGTCGTCCTCCTCCTCCTCCTCCTCCTCCTCCTCCTCCTCCCCACCCCCTCCCCCTCCTCCTCCTCGTCGTCCTCCTCCCAATCGCCAGCACCATCACCATCACCATGACCATCGCCATCACCATCACCATCATCATCAGCATCATCACCATCATCATCACCACCGCCACCATCATCATCATCATCATCATCATCATCACCATCATCATCATCATCAGGATCATCATCACCATCGTCATCATCATCACCATCATCATCACCATCACCGTCACCATCACCATCATCATCATCATCATCACCACCACCACCACCACCATCATCATCATCATCATCATCATCATCATCATCATCATCATCATCATCATCATCATCATCATCATCATCATCATCATCATCATCATCATCATCATCATCATCATCATCATCATCATCATCATCATCATCATCATCATCATCATCATCATCATCATCAGCATTAGCATCATTAGCATCAGCATCATCATTATGTTCCAGCTGCTGCTCCTCATCCTCATCATCATCCTTCGTCTCCGTCTCCTCTTTATCCTCCCCTCGTGTCGGACAAAAGGGGGGGTCCTTCTCTTTGGAGTCTTAAAACCCAAACGCCCTCACATCGTGGCGAAAATCACGACGGAATGTTTGTTGCGCCTCTGGG